CATTTGCCTATAGTTCCAGTGCTTGGGAGGCTGAGGCATGAGGATAGCTTGAGCCTAGGAGTTTTGGTTTTGTTTTGTTTTTATTTGAGACAGAGTCTCACTCTGTTGCCCAGGCTGGAGTGCAGTGGTGCAGTTTCAGCTCACTGCAGCCTCTGCCTCCCAGGTTCAAGCAATTCTCATGCTTCAGCCTCCTCAGCTGGGATTACAGGCACCCACCACCACGTCCAAAAATACAACTTTTGTATTTTTAGTAGAGATGGGGTTTCACTATGTTGGCCAGGCTGGTCTCAAACTCCTGACCTCAAGTGATCCACCTGCCTTAGCCTCCCAAAGTGCTGGGATTACAGATGTGAGCCACTGCTCCCGGCATGGACAGTATGTATTAAACCAGCGTTGATGATGTATCGGACACATTACAAGGAAGATCAGCCATGAGCGAGGCAGATACCATCCCCTCCCTCGGGGAGTTTCTCATCTAGTAGTGGAAATGGACCTTAAATAACTAAACACATATATCATTGCAAGTTGTATTGCGTGCTTAAAGGAAAAGAACAGAGAGAACCCTGTGCAATGACTCAAGCCTGTGATGCCAACATTCTGGGAGGCCAAGGCAGGAACACTGCTTGAGCCCAGGAATTTGAGACCAGCCTGGACTACATAAGGAGACCCCTCTCTTTATAACAATAAAAAAAAAAAAAATAGCCAGGTGTAGTGGCCTGTGGCTATAGTCCCAACAACTCTGGAGGCTGAGTTGGGAGGAACACAGGCCTGGTTCCTGACTGTGTGTGTGTGTATGTGTGTGTGTGTGTGTGTGTGTGACGGAGTTTCACTCTTGTTGCCCAGGCTGGAGTGCAATGGTGCGATCTCTGCTCACTGCAACCTCCGCCTCCCGGGTTCAAGCTATTCTCGGGTTCAAGCTTAGCCTTCCAAGTAGCTGGGAATACAGGCATGTGCCACCACGCCTAGCTAATTTTGTATTTTTAGTAGAGATGGGGTTTTTTCTTGTTGGTCAGGCTGGTCTTGAACTCCCAACCTCAGGTGATCCACCCATCTCGACCTCCCAAAGTGCTGGGATTACAGGCGTGAGCCACCATGCCCTGCCTGACTGATCTTTAAAATAAAGAAATATTGTGATCTACAAATGTACCCTCAATTATGCCACCTCCTTGTATATAAATGCTTCAGTGGCTTCCCATTCCCCTCAGAAGACAGTCCAGCATCTCAGCACAGGGCCCTCCACCATTTGGCCCTGTCCTTGTCTCCTCAGGCCAGCCCCTAGGAATTCTTCAGGTCTCTAATACTCTCTGTTGCTTCAGGGAAGCCTTGAAAGCTGTTGTTACAGGATCCAGGAGCTCAGTAGACCCCAGTGTTGGTGATAGAAATTCTGGAATTAAAAGTATACAGAATGTATTTAGAGATACGGAATGAGATGAAATTACCTAAAATCTTCTCATATAGAGAAACAATCTGCACACTTTTAAAAATGCTTATCTTTAGGCCGGGCACAGTGGCTCATGCCTGTAGTCCCAGCACCTATAATCCTGGGAGGTGAAGGCAGTGGATAACATGAGTTGAGGAGTTCCAGACCAGCCTGGTCAACATGGTGAAACCCTGTCTCTACTAAAAATACAAAAATTAGTCAGTGAGGTGGTGCGTGCCTGTAATCCCAGCTACTTGGGTGGCTGAGGCAGGATGGCTTGAACCCAGGAGGTGGAGGTGGCAGTGAGCCGGGATCGTGTCACTGCCCTCCAGCCTGGGTGACAGAGCAAGACCCTGTCTCAAAAAATAAAAATAAAAAATAAAATGCATACCTTCAGAAAAATTAAATATGCCCTCAAAATATTATACAGATTGTACTTTATAAAGCATACACAAAAACAGAAATTAAAAATGAAGACAGCTGGCTTCAGTGGTGTGTGCCTGTAGTCCCACCTACTCAGGAGGCTGAGGCAGAAGGCTTGCTTGAGGCTAGGAGTTTGTGACAAGTGTGCTAAGATCAAGCCTGTGAATAGCCACTGTACTCCAGCCTGGGCAATATAGCAAGACCCCATAAAAAAAAACGAGTGACTTAAACTTTTCAATGACTGACTTTCTATTGTGATCTGCCCGCCTCAAGCCTCCCAAAGTGTGGGGATTACAGGTGTAAGCCACTGCGCCTGTAATAGATTCCAAGTGCCATCCCACTGCCTGAAAGGCCTGCACTGGCCATCCGGGCCTTGTGACTCTTCGTCACTACATGGCATCCGCATTGCCAACCCACCACATATTCTTCTGCCTCAAGATTTTGAGCTGCTCTTTTCAGCCTGTTTTGACAGTTACTCTTTGCGCCTAGAATACACTTCTCCACTTCATGCATAGTTAGTTCAGCTTCAATAGGATCACCTTGGTGAGGCCTTCCAAATCTAAAGGGGTGCACCCTCCACCATCCAGCTGTTCACTGCCTCTCTGTTCTTTTTCGTTTTGTTTGAGACAGGGTCTCATGTTGTTACCCAGTTGGAGTGCAGTCGTGCCATAAGAACCTGCTGCAGTCTCTATTTCTCCAGCTCAAGCAATTCTGTCACCTCGGCCTCCTGAGTAGCTGGGACTACAGGTGTGCGGTACCATGCCTGGCTAATATTTATTTTTGTAGAGATGGGGTCTCATCAGGTGCAGTGGCTCACACCTGTAATCCCCACACTTTGGGAGGCTTGAGGCGGGCAGATCACAAGGTAAGGAGTTCGAGACCAGCCTGGCCAGCATGCTGAAACCTTGTCGCTACTAAAAATACAAAAATTAGCCGGGCATGTTGGTGTGCACCTGTGGTCCCAGCTACTCAGGAGGCTGAGGCAGAAAAGTTGCTTGAACCCAGGAGGCGGAGGTTGCAGTGAGCCGAGATCATACCACTGCACTGCAGTGTGGGCAACACAGCCAGACTCCATCTCAAAAACAAAAAACAGATGAGATGCGATCTCACCATGTTGGTTGCCTAGGCTAGTCTCAAACTGCTAGGCCCAAGCAGTCCTCCTGCCTCAGCCTCCTACCCAGTTACTTGGGAGGCTAAAGTGGGAGGACAGCTACACCCCAAGCAGTCAAGACCAGCCTGGGAAACATAGTAAGATGCTGTCTCTAAAATAGTTAAAATAATGTGATGGCATTTGCCTGTAGTCCCAGTGCTCAGGAGGCTGAGGCACAAGGATAACTTGAGCCTAGGAGTTTTGTTTTTGTTTTTGTTTGAGATGGAGTCTTGCTCTGTCGCCCAGGCTGGAGTACAGTGGTGCGATCTCAGCAAACTGTAGCCTCCGCCTCCCAGGTGATTCCCAAGTGATTCTCATGCCTCAGCCTCCCAAGTAGGTGGGATTACAGGCATGTGCCACCATGCTCGGGTAATTTTTTTGTAGAGATGGAGTTTCACTGTGTTGGCCAGGCTGGTCTCAAACTCCTGACCTTCAGTGATCTGACTGCCTCAGCCTCTCAAAGTGCTGGGATTAGAGTTGTGAGCCACTGTGCCGGGCCAAGCCTAGGAGTTTGAGGATGCAGTGATCGCTGATGGTGCCATTGCACTCCAGCCTGAGTGATAGAGTGAGACCTCAGTCTCATAGATGAATAAATAGGCTGGGTGTAATGGCTCACACCTGTAATCTCTCAGCACTTTGGGCGGCTGAGGCAGGTGGATCACTGGAGCCCAGGAGTTCAAGACCGGCCTGCGCAACATGGCCAAACCTCATCTCTACAAAAAATACAAAAATTAGCTGGGCCTGTTGGCACACGCCTGTCTTCCCAGCTACTCGGGAGGCTGAGGTGGGAGGATGCCTTGACAGGGAAGCAGAAGTTATGAGTGGAGATCATGCCACTGCACTCTAGCCTGGGCAACAGACCAAGACTCTGTCTCAGTAAATAAATAAATAAGGCCTCAGAGGGGAACTCCAGAGTGGCCCAAAGGGGCTAGGTACAGTGGCTCACACCTGTAATCCCAGCACTTTGGGAGGCCAAGGTGGGAGGATCACTTGAGACCAAGAGTTTGAGACCAGCCTGGCCAACAACCCCTTTTCCACTAAAAATACAAAAATGAGCTGGGCATGGTGGTGGTAGTCCCAGCTGCTTGGGCAGCTGAGGCAGAAGAATTGCTTGAGTCTGGGAGGTAGAGGTTGTAGTGAGCCAAGATCACACCACTGCACTCCAGCCTCGCTGACAGTGTTTTTGTTTTTCAAGAAAAACAGAAAAACCAGTGACCTAAAGGTCCAGTGGCAGAACCAAGGCTGGGTCCCCAGGCTCCTACCTTCCAGTCCAGTGCTCTGACTACATGTCCATCCTTCCTCTCAGAGGGCATCTTCATCTGGCCTCCTGTGATCTCTCTGACCTTCCCCTCATTAACTCCATTCCAGCCTTGTGGGTCTTCTGCCTCAGGACCTTTGTCCCTGCTGTTCCCTTTGCCTGAAACACTTAACAAGTCATCTGCACAGCTTGGTCCCTCACCTCCTTTAGGTTCTTGCTCAACTATTGCCTTCTTAGTGATGCCTTCCTAGCTTGCCCTCTTTTATTTATTTATTTTGAGATGGAGTTTTGCTCTCGTTGCCCAGGTTGGAGTGCAATGGCACGATCTCAGCTCACTGCAACCTGCGCCTTGCAGGTTCAAGAGATTCTCCTGCCTCAGCCTCCGGAGTAGCTGGGACTACAGGCGCCTGCCACCAGGCCTGGCTAATTTTTGTATTTATTATTTTTTAATTTTTATTATTTTTGAGACAGAGTTTTGCTCTTGTTGCCCAGACTGGAGTGCAATGGCGTGATCTCGGCTCACCACAACCTCTGCCTCCTGGGTTCAAGTGATTCTCCTGCCTCAGCTTCCCGAGTAGCTGGGATTATAGGCATGCACCACGATGCCCGGCTAATTTTGTATTTTTAGTAGAGACGTGATTTATCTGTGTTGGTCAGGCTGGTCTCAAACTCCAGACCTCAGGTGATCTGCCTGCCTGGGCCTCCCAAAGTGCTGGTTACAGGCGTAAGCCACTGCGTTCTGTCACGATTTTTCTAAAACACACATGACCTTCTCTGTCGGTGGGCTTCTTGCTGCCCGTGGGGCCAAATCCCAGCTTCCACATGGCACCCCCATATCCGTGGACTGCACTCCCTCTCTAAACTCATCTCTTGACCAAGGCCAGGACTGGCCCTGGCTCAGGATCCAGTCGAAGAGACTCCTCTCGGGGTTCTTTCCTGACTGCGCTTCCTTCTCTGGCCCCCTGGGCGCCCTGAGCACGCTCACTGACATCGTTTGGCGGCCTGTCACCCGCGTGGCTGGGGCACCTGCAGGAAGTGCTGTAGCTGAGAGGTGCCCGTGTGGATCACCGCTGCGTCAGGGAGGGAAGAGGGTGAGGTCGCCCCTGGGAGGCAGAAGGGGAGCCGGGAGCCAGTCCTGGAAGCCAAGGAGTGAGAGTGAAGGGTGTTTCGCTGCGTCAGCGTGGCCCGACCGCCCTTGGGAGGAGGAGCCCAGGGGCCAGCGCGGTGCGGGCCACCCTCGCCTCCCACTAAGGGCGCTGAGCACGCAAGCCCGCCGGCCCCGGCCCAGCCGCCGCCCTCTGCAGGCGCTCCTACTCTCCCGGCTTCTGCAGTCCGAGCGGAAGGGGCGGGAACGCGGGGCGACTGCCGAGGAACGAAGCACAAGCTCGGCTTCCCTGGGCAGCTGGAGGCCTCCTTCCTCTCGACGCAGACGCGCTGCCCAGGAGAGGGCGGGCCCGGCGGGTCGCGGGGCGGGGCCGGGGTCCGAACCCGGGCCCGCCTCCGCCAGCGCTGGTGAACCGCAGAGTGCTAGGCACCGGGCTGTTCTGGGGGCTCCAGGTGAGCGGGGGCACAGAGGGATCAGGGAGACCGTCCTCTGGGTGGGGCCGTCGGTCTGATCGCGGGTCCATCTGGCCTGCCGTCCGCCCACAGCTGCCTCCGCAGAATGGGAGAACAAAGGGAGGGGGCGGTTCTGGGGCCCCGTAGGGAATCCAGGGTCCTAGGTACCCAGCTCCGGCCACTGACACTTTGGGTTTCTCCCCGAGTCAGAGGCGCCGCCCTAGAGATACTGGGCCGGCGCCGGGAGCAGCTGCCTCTCCGCGTTTGCCTGTGTCTGTTTCTATGTCTGTCTGGCTGTCTCAGAGTTTGCCTTCGCTTCCAGAACTAAGCCACCCAGACACCAACATCCCGAAAATCCCAACCTTCTCCCATGGCAGGTAAGTGCGCGCAAGGCCAGGGGTCTCCGTTATCCCCACACGGACTTGGGAGCCGGGTGCGAACACATCCTCCCGGAATGTGCTCGGACTGGCTGGGTGGGGCCCCTTCCTTCCTTCCGGGGAACCTCCACCCTGCTCCCCTGCCCCATCTTTCTCTGCCTCTTCCCACCACGTTTCCCCTGAGCCTCGGGGTCCATGGGCTGAGGAATAAGGCGATGAGGCCTCGGAGCCCTTTCTAATCTATCCTGCCCCCACCCCTTTACAGGCTACTTGCCCCCCAAAGGCTACGCCCCTTCGCCCCCACCTCCCTACCCTGTGACCACTGGGTACCCAGAGCCGGCGCTACATCCTGGGCCCGGGCAGGCGCCAGTGCCCGCCCAGGTACCTGCCCCAGCTCCCGGCTTTGCCCTCTTCCCCTCGCCCGGCCCCGTGGCCTCGGGATCTGCTGCCCCCTTCTTGCCAGTGCCAGGGGTGCCTTCTGGCCTCGAATTCCTGGTGCAGGTGAGTGGGAGGGAGCGACGGAGGGCGGGAGCGAGGGAGGGAAGGAGGATGACTGGGAGGGGACCTGGGCTTCCAGATGGGCCGGCTGATGTGCGCACCGCCCTTCTCTCCCAGATTGATCAGATTTTGATTCATCAGAAGGCTGAGCGAGTGGAAAGTAAGTGGAAGGAGTAGGAGGTTGGACCTCGTGATGGTGGCCGGATGGTGGGCTCCTGGGCGCTCAAGGATCTATAAGTCTCCCCGTGTCACCCCTGGCAGCGTTCCTAGGCTGGGAGACCTGTAACCGGTATGAACTGCGCTCTGGGGCCGAGCAGCCCCTGGGTCAGGCAGCCGAAGAGAGCAACTGCTGCGCCCGTCTGTGCTGTGGTGCCCGCCGGCCGCTGCGTGTCCGCCTGGCTGACTCCGGGGACCGTGAGGTGCTGCGTTTGCTACGCCCGCTGCACTGTGGCTGCAGCTGCTGCCCCTGTGGCCTCCAGGAGGTGGGCGGGAGGGATGGGGCCCGGAGGGCGGGCCTTGGTGGGGCGGGCCAATGATGAGATCCGCCTGAGATAAGACCTGGCTCAGGTGGGAGTGGGCAGATGGGGATGAGAGGTTGAGTGAGAGGGCCAAGTAGACAGACGATAGAGCTGGATGATAGAGACCCTGCCTGAACAGTGATCCTGTCTGCTTCCCACTCCAGATGGAAGTCCAGGCTCCACCAGGCACCACTATCGGCCACGTGGTACAGACCTGGCATCCCTTCCTCCCCAAGTTCTCCATCCAGGATGCCGATCGCCAGACAGTCTTACGAGTGGTGGGGCCCTGCTGGACCTGTGGCTGTGGCACAGACACCAACTTTGAGGTATCAGGGATACCTAGAGATTCTTGGGACCTTCATGAACCCATGAGGCAGGATGGTTAACACTAAGGTCAAGACCCTGAGCTCATCAATCCAAATCCACTGTCACTCCTACCACATTTCCAGCATTCCTCCATTTGGAAATAGGATGGCCCTGTGCTATAAAATCCCCCTTTTATAAGCATAACAAGGAGGATTTCATCTTAAGGAGCAATGCTGATTATTACACATGGCCCTGAGATGGGTAGGAAAAAAAATCTAACACCAGCCTGGATTTAGGGTGAAGGATGATTAAGTCTGTGTGGGCTGGGCCCATGTGGCTGCTGTGTATGAGTTCGTGAGCCCAAGCCCTGGAGCAAGCACGATTTTTTTTAAGACAGAGTTTCATTCTCATTGCCCAGGCTGGAGTACAGCAGGGCAATATTGGCTCACTGCAACCTCTGCTTCCTGGGGTCAAGTGATTCTTCTGCCTCAGCCTCCTGAGTAGCTGGGATTACAGGCACCGGCCACCATGCCCAACTAATTTTTGTATTTTTAGTAGAGACAGGGTTTTCACCATGTTGGCCAGGCTGGTCTCGAGCTCTTGACCTCAGGTGATCCACCCACCTCGGCCTCCCAAAGTGCTAGGATTACAGGCATGAGCCATAACGCCCAGCCACAAGCACAATTTTAACATGTTAACATCCTGTGGCTTGCCCTGCTAAAGTAGAATCCAAATGGCCCTTCCATTCTGAAATCCAGGTCTGTCCTTCTCACTATGCATCCCTGTCACCATCCTGGAACTGGAGATCCCAAGTGGTGAGAATTTCAGAGTGAGGCCTCGGGAAGCACCTTGGATTCTAGAAGACAGGCACTCCACAGACCCTTGAGGTGTTTTTTTTTTTTTTTTTTGAGATGGAGTCTCGCTCTGTCACCCAGGCTAGAGTGCAGTGGCACAATCTCGGCTCACTGCAATCTCCGCCTCCCAGGTTCAAGCAATTCTCCTGCCTCAACCTCCCAAGTAGCTGGGATTATAGGCATGCACCACTGTGCCTGGCTAATTTTTTTTATTTTTATTTTTAGTAGAGACAGGGTTTCAGCATGCTGGCCAGGCTGGTCTCGGACTCCTGACCTTGTGATCTGCCCGTCTCTGCCTCCCAAAGTGCTGGGATTACAGGCATGAGCCACTGTGCCTGGCCTGACCCTTGAGTTCTTTAAAGGATACTTCCTTGTGCAGGTAAGGGAGAAACAACAGGTATAATCTCATAGACTTTCCAACGCTTCTAATGAGGTACCTATCTAAGGCTACTTTGAAAAAAACGAGTCACCTTGGTAGCCAAAGGGAGATTCTGTGATGGGAACCAGTTGGGAATAAGAACTAATAACTGTGATCTCTGGGTGGGAATTTATAGGCTGTAGGGTTCTCACAGGGCCAGTGTCCCTTTCACATAAACGGTCCATACTTGCGGCTGTACCCTTAGAAGCAAGGCAGGAAATGCCCCAGAGCTATAGGACAGTGCAGGAAGGGGATGGCAGTGACACAAAAGGAAATCACTCCAGTTGTAGTCACTGGAGAATGAGCACCAGAAAAGGACCAGGAAGTAATGGGCAGTAACTACCCACATCAGCAGGGCCTGTTGCTGTGTGGCTCAGAAAAGCCAGTGGAAATTGTGGTCCTCAAAACCTACTGACTGCTGCCCCTCTTTACAGTAGAGAGGCATGTATCCCCTCTAGATGAGGCTCTCATGCAGTGCTGGACAAGGCCCTCCCCTACTTTGCAGATTAGAGAGAAGGCACTCTTTGGGATAGACACAGCCTTCTAGGAGCCTTCTTGGCTGGTGAAGTACAGCCAGGATTCAGGTAGCTTTCCTTGCCCTTTTGTCCAGGGTACTTTGTGCAGGACACAAACTGTGCCAATTGTGGGTGGCAGGGGCATTGGGAACCAAAGCAGTTAGCAAACAGCTATACCCTAAGTGGGTTGGATGAGATCATGCTTCCATTTCTCCCACCACTGATATTCAGTTAGGTCATGCATCACCTTTGGATAGCAGCAGATCTGAGTCTGAATCTTGATTTTGGTTAGAGACTTACAGCGTCTTCTACAGTGCCTCAGTTTCCCTAGCTGTCATACTTGGTGATGGGAACCAGTTGGGAAAGCGATCACTGGGTGACCTCTAGAAGGGAAGATTCACTGAGTGTAGAGCCTGCAAATTCATACATGCGACTGTGGGAGTGAGACCGGAGGCAGGTGAGACTGGCTGCCTACTCCTCGGTTGGCTCATTCCTCCCTCCCCACTGACAGGTGAAGACACGGGATGAATCCCGCAGTGTGGGCCGCATCAGCAAGCAGTGGGGGGGCCTGGTCCGAGAAGCCCTCACGGATGCAGATGACTTTGGCCTACAGTTCCCACTGGACTTGGATGTGAGGGTGAAGGCTGTGCTGCTGGGAGCCACATTCCTCATTGTGAGTTGGCTGTCCTGCCCCCAGCTCCTGCCTGTCCTTTGCCATCACTTGAAGCTTTATGCATTTCCTGGCCTCTTGCTAGGGGAAGGTCAGGGATAGATGTTGGAGGGGGGGTCGAGGTTCCAGAGCTGGCCTGTCACAGCCGAGCTAGGCTGGCCCTGCCTGATCTCCTGTTGACTGTGGCCTCCTCTTAGGACTACATGTTCTTCGAGAAGCGAGGAGGTGCTGGGCCCTCTGCCATCACCAGTTAGAGGTCACCATGGTGTGAGGAGACCATCGCCTCAGCCAGAACTCCAGATGGTCACCTGCCCTGGCCCTCATCTAGGCAGCCCCTTTCCTCGATGTACACTGCAGGGGACAGAAGGTGGCCCCCATCCCTACCCTACTCCCTGGCCTCCTGCCCCTGTGGTCCCCAAAGAGGGGCAGCCCTTCTCCTGCTACCTCCCACCATTGTCCCAGCAGTCCCTCAGCACACAGGTATAACAGCTGTCAAACTTTCCCTACATAATCCCTCCCACCCCCTTTCAGGGCCTCTGCTCCAGAGGCCTCTGGAACCCAGGACTCTCGGGTTTTATAAGAGGGCTGGGGTGGGGAAAGGCAAACTGCACCAAAGACGGTGGACATAGCCACCCCCACCCCACATCTGCTCAGCCAATTAGTTCAGCCTCAGACCATGGCACTCGATGGGGTCTCCACCTCCCCAACAATAGCTGCAGGGGGACCCCAGTGCCAACTTCTTCTCCCACTAGGGCCCTGCCCTCAGCTGGTGCTTGCTGCGCTTCCTGTGCCTTATTTAACCGCCCTTCCTTCCCTTGCCCTAGGAAAAAGGCTGCATCTTTATATGTTACATTCATATAAACTTTGTAACTTTTTGGACATTGGAAGATGTATGTAATAGGGGAGGGTAGAAGGAGTTGGTGCCAGGAAAAACAAAGGGGAATGTGAGGGCTGGGGCAGGGGCTGGCCCGTCTCATGATCCATAGTACCAACATCAAATGTCCTTGAGTGCAAGAGAGCAGTCGTCATCACCCACCATGGCCCTGGACCAAACGAATAGAGTTTGGGTCTCATACCCCAAGTCAATATGGCGGCTTCATCATCCAAGATGGCTGCCCCACAGTCTAGTGCGGTAGCTGATGGCAGTTCAGGATGGCTGTTCGCATGGTCCAGTGTGGCCCCTTGATCATCCTCTCTAGCGAGTAGAAGCTTCCTCTGGATGTGATGTATAGTAGCTCTTTTCCTCCAAGTTGTCCTCTTGTTTGAGAATGCAGTGGGCAGGCTAGACCCTTCTTGGCCCAGCCAAAAGAGCTTCAGCCTTCAGAGGCCAAGGAGCATGGGAGGGAGGAGACATTTCCCAGCACCCAACCCTGGGCTCCTCCCCCACATGTCTATCGCAGGTGGGACCTCCCCAGGTGGAAAGTCTACCCCCGTCAGGACCTTGTTCTGGTTCTGCTTGGTCCCACATGGCTAGGCCCTCAGGGGCCTAGACTTTTCATGCTGATGTCCATGCCCACAGAAGCGAGCTCAGGGCCTGGCCAGGACATAGCGACTGGCAGCTGAGAGGTCCCACTGGTAATGCTCTAGGATGCGCCGGCAGTCAGCCCTGGACCGGCTACTCAGGTGGAAGAGCTGGTCTACCTGTGGAAGCAGGAGGGTGGGCTGCAGCTGACTGCCAGGTGGCAGGGGCAGGAGAGAAGGGACCCCAAGAGAAGGGGCTGGCTTTTTTTTTTTTAAGACTCAGTTTCAGTCTTCTCTGCCAGGGTGGAGTGCCGTGGTGCGATCTGGACTCACTGCAGGTTCAAGCAATTCTCCTGCCTCAGCCTCCTGAGTAGCTGGGATTACAGGCTACCAGCTAATTTTTTGTATTTTCAGTAGAGACAGGGTTTCACCATATTGGCCAGGCTGATCTTGAAATCCTGACTCAGGTGATCTGCCTTCCTAGGCCTCCCAAAGTGCTGGGATTACAGACATGAGCCACCACACCTGGCCAGGGCTGGCTTTACCTTGAGGTTCTGGATGGCTGAAACCACATCTCCCCTGGTGGCTCCCAGTGCTGCCTGGCACTCCTGGTGGGTGACTCCATGCACACTCAGTTCCACCTGTGACAGACAAAGCCTCACTCAGGCCCCTGCCCCTGCCTGTAGCCCTTTCTGGACACCAGGCCATTTCAGTGAGACCTCACCTCCATAATCTTCCTCTGCAACTCAGGATCGGGCAAGAGGCCTCCAGAGAGGACAGCGGCTTTGCTAGCTCCAGGCGCTCCCATGAGGTGATTGTGCGGGGGTTTTCTTTTGGGCCAGGGAAGCCGCTCCCTAGGGGGCTGACTGGGCTGAGGAGAGCTAGAGGATAAAGGTGGGCGTGGACGCAGGCCTGGGGGTCCCTGGGGTACAGCTCTGGCTTGTCGAATTTCAGGGGGGCTTGAACCACCCCCTGTGGGGTGAGGACCCAGGGACAGAACTGACTCCAGACTCCTGGAAATGCCTGCACAGTTGAAAAAGAAACAACTTGATCTCGGCTTGCTGCAGCCTCTGCCTCCCGGGCTCAAGTGATCCTCCCACCTCAGCCTCCTAAGTAGCTGGGTCCACAGGTGCCTGCCACCACACCTGGCTAATTTTTGTATTTTTGTGGAGACAGGGTTTGGCCATGTTGCCCAGGCTAGTCTCAAATTCCTGGACTCAAGCCATCCGTCCACCTTGGCCTCCCAAAGTGCTGGGATTACAGGCATGAGCTGCCGCGCCCAGCCCACTCTCTGTCTTCATCTGTGCTGGGCTGGATGGGTTCGCAAGCACTTGCAGATTAGCTAGCCAGCCCTGTCCTTGGGTGGTTCATGTGTCAGGTAGGCCAATAGGACAGAGGTGCCACCAAGGCCTAGGTGGAGGGCCCAGAGTGTGGAGGTGTTCTTCAGTAGGAAAAGCAAGAGGGCTTCCTATCTTTGAAGATTTCAGTCCATCTAGGATGCCAGCAGACAGAATTCAGAGGAAGGAAATAATAGATGCAAAGGCACGGATTCAGGGCAGAGGGTCAGAATTGAAGGGCTGGTTTGATCTCCTCAGAGACCCTGGAGTTCCACCACACCCACCTTTCATCCTTTCAAGGGGCACATTTCTTCTCTGGCCCCGTGCTGGAGGCACATCCCAAAGATTTGCCTTCTTTCTGTCTCTGTCGGAGAGAGATCCAGTTCTTCCTCCACACCAACCCTCTCCATCCCACAGGTCAATATCCCTTCCCCCCACCAAAAAAACTCATGGGGGAACCCAGGAGACCCAGAGCCCAGGGAGGAGGCTGCAGCTTCACTCTGGTCCTGTCCCCAAGCTTCCCTTCCAGAGAAGTCCCTAGACTTTGTCAGTTCTCCCAGCCCACCCCTGTCCCCCACCCTTTCAGGTCCTCACCCATCTATGCTTCCTGGGTGTTGATCTCCCCGGGCAGGGGTGCCTCTGTGGACTGGACGGGTGGCTGGCAAGCCCCCTGCATCTGCCAGAGTCACTGCGGAGGCTGGGAAGCTGCCCACTTTGAAGGTGCGACCATTCTGGCCCTTCCAGATTGTGGAGTCAGGGCTGTGGAAAGAGGAGCTGGTAAATAGGATGGGAACAGGGGCAGGAGTTAGGGCTGGGCCCTGGCCCACATTCAGCTCACTAGGCTATGTGCCTTGGAGCTTCATCTGCCTGGAGGAAGGGAAGCCTTTTCCCTAATGCAATAGGACTCTATGGGCCAGCAGTGGCTCCAGCAGGGAGGCCAGGACCATGCTGGAGCATTCAGGGCCCAGTGGGGAGAGGAGAAGAGACAGAAGATCAGGAGTCAAGGAGCTGGAGAGAAGCAGAGACGGGATCGGGAATCAGGAAGGTTGGGAGGGAATCCTCTTGGGGATGCTTGGGAGGCATGGGGCTGTTACCTGCCCTCGATGACTGTGATGGGGTCACCAGGCTCCATCCTCAGGGCACCTGGCTCTGTGACATCCCTCACACAGCATCCTTCTGTAGGCCAGGCCTGTGGAGACAGGAGGAAAGGGTGGCTGGGCTTGTGGCCTGAGTCAGAAAGGTCATAATGGGAGCAGGAATAAAGAAGAGCCCCGCTCTGTATGTCGCCTGTGCTAGGCCCAGGGTGGGACTCTCCCTGTCCCCCAGTTGTAATTCAGTGAGGGAGGCAGACCTGGATCCCATGACAAACAGGTCTCAGGGAGCAAGAGAGGAGGGCCTTGGCTCTACCTAGGGGGACTGACAGGAGCGTCACCCCATACTCTGCTTTCACTCCACATCCAGGCCCATCAGATTCCTCCCAAGCCCCTCTGGGAAATTTCCACTCCTCTGCAGCCCCACTGCCTCTACCCTCATCCAGACCTCCTCATCTTTCTCTGCTTCACAGTCACTGTTGCCTACCTGGTCTCCCATCCTTGTCATCAGCCCTCTAATCCATTCCTGCACCACCCAGTGTTGTAATCGGCAGAGCAGCTTGTCACTGCCCTGTTCAGTAGGCTTCCATGGCTCCCAAATACCTTCAGAGTGAAGACTAAACTTTAGCAGTAGAGTGTAGCAACTTAGGGAACAGCTCTGAAGTCAAATCGACGGGCTCAAATCCCAACTCCTCCATGTATTGTGTGACTTTAGGCAAGTCACTTAAACAGTCAGTGCCTCAATTGCCCATCAAAAACATGGAGATAATAATAATTACCTCATCCAGGCGGGGCACAGTGGTTCATGCCTGTAATCCCAACACTTTGGGAGGCTAGGGCGGGTGGATCATTTGAGGTCAGGAGTTCGAGACCAGCCTGGCCAACATGGTGAAACCCCATCTCTACTAAAAATACAAAAATTAGCTGGGTGTGGTGGCAGGCGCCTGTAGCCCCAGCTACTCAGGAGGCAGGAAAATCGCTTGAACCCGGGAGGTGGAGTTTGCAGTGAGCTGAGATCCCACCACTGCACTTCAGCTAGGGTGACAAAGTGAGACTCTGTCTCAGTAATAATAATAATAACCTCATCCAGTGGTTGAGGGAACTAAATGAGTGAATCTGCATAGCGCTCACGTAGAGCGGACAGTGCAGCGTCCCGCACAGGTCAATTGCTCTACACGTTAGCTTAACACACCTTGCAAAGCCCTCCATGACACAGCTCTTGCTCACTCTGTGGCCTCATTACTTCTATTTCCCCCTCCCATGCAGAGAGTTTCTCTTCCTCTGCCTGTCAACACCCACTGCAACTGACCGCTGTCTCCTCTATGGCCCTTTTCTGGCCCAGACACAGACCCCAGCCTTTCAGCCTCCATCTCTGTAGCCTCAAGCTGCCTCCCCTGAATTCTGAGCTCCCTGCAGGTCGGGACTGCATCTGTTTTGCTCAGAGCTGAATCCCAGAGCCCAGCACAAGCATCTGGATACATCAGTCTTTGCATGGCACTCTGGAAAGGCAAATGGAGGGAAGAGAGACTGTGTATCTGGTGAGGGAGGGGGTCCCCACCTCTTGCAGCAGGCCTTCCACGTGGGTAAAGCTAGGCCGGTCAGCAGGGTGGGGGGCCCAGCAGCGCAAGGCAAGGGAGTAGAGGGTCCTGGAGCAGAGAGGGGGCCTAGGCAGCCGGGCTCTGTCCTCCAGCCGCTGCAGGATGAGGTACGGTGGGACCCCGGCCCAGGGTTCCTCGCCGCCTGAGAACATCTCCCACAGCGTCACCCCAAACATCCACACGTCCGAGGCAGACGAGAAGGCTCCGTGGCGCAGGCTCTCTGGGGCACACCTGCAGAAGGAAGTGGAGTTGAAGGGGGCCGGACACGTGCTCCTTGGCGCTCACCTTCCACGGAGCACCCCAGAGTGCTCCCATCGTCCACAGAAGTCCCCTTTTCCGAGGATAACCCCTCTTGTCCCAGCCTGCCTCAGAAGCCCGGCCCCCTCCGATCTCCCTCAGGTGCTGCCCTCCCCATCCGCCCTGCTGGGAGCCGGACGACCCCCGCGGTCCGTGCTCACCAGGCGTAGGGGATGGGGCGGGGCCCGCCCATGACGTAGCGGCCCCGGGCGCCGCTCAGAGGCCGCACCAGCCCGAAGTCCGCCACCTTGATGGTGCTCGTCGACGCCAGCAGCAGGTTGCGCGTAGCGAGGTCCCGGTGCACCAGCCCCCGGGCCCCCAGGTAGGCCATGGCCCCCGCCAGCTGCCGCAGGAAGAGGAAGAGTAGGGCCACAGGCAGTGGGGGTGTCGGGGCCGGGGCTGTTAGGCGCGCGTGTAGGGAGCCCAGTGGCGCCAGCTCCATCACCTGTGGGAGGGAGCACCGTGCCGCGTCAGTTGGACCCACAGGATTCTGGCCGCCCACGCTCGTGCCGCACGGCTCTCGGGGAAGCAGTGGCTGGACCTGCTCACCATCTGCAGAGGCTGGCCCAGTATCAGGCCGTGCAGACGCAGCACGTGCGGGTGCTCCAAGTTCATCATGACCGATACCTCTCGCAGGAAGTCCCCCAGCTCTGCACCCACCGGGCCTTCAGGACCTACCCGGAGGGACTTGACAGCCACTGGGACCTGGAGGTTGGGGGAAGTGCCTTCAGGAATTGTGGGCATGTAGAACACAGGGGACAGCTGGCCTGGATGATGCAGGCTCCCCCCCCCCCCCCCCCCGCCCCGGTCACTCACACTCTTGCCGCTGGGCAGCGTCCACAGCCCTCGGTGCACCACCCCAAAGCAGCCGGAGCCCAGCAGCTCCCTTCTGCACACAGCACCCTCTGGGATCAGACACTTGAGTCCCCCCTCTGGCTCAGGGACGTGCGGTGGGCCCTGCGAGGGCAGGGTGGGCTCCTTGTGCTCAGGGGCTAAACCTCCAAGGATCTGAAACAGGGGTGGGAAATCCAGTATGTAGAGCCCTGCATCCCCTCCCTGCCCCTCAAGCCCCCCCATTCCCAGGCCCAGGCTGCCCCACCCACAACACACACCTTGTAGACCCAGTTCTTAGACTTAGGCCCGGATCGTAGCCTCTTTAGAGCTTCCGACAGTCTGCGCTGGGCTGTGGGAGGCCAGAATCAGGGCTGGGGTGGAAGTGGGGGTGGGGAACAGTGCAGAGAGATTTACAGGGAAGAAAAGGGCTGGGAGAGGGTTGTGGTGGGGGGAGGCAACTGATAGGCTGTGGACAGAGAGAACAGGGTCTGGGGCAGGGGTTGCTCACCAGGCCGGCCCATGCCAATGCTGTCCAGGTCTTCAGGCTTGACAAAGTCGAAGTGCTCTGGCCGAGTGACATTAAGCTCCTCAAGGATGGGCCAGTAAAACTGGGCCAGCTGGATGTCCCGGAGCAGCTTTAGTAGCCACAGGGAGCCAGCCTCAGGAAGCATGTCTGGAGGAGGAGTCCCTAAGGGTGGCAGCACTCTCCTTTAGCTGTTCCACCCAGGGTAGGCCCTAGAGAGACCAGGTCTCCAGCTCCACCTGTAAGTCATCAGAAACACTCAGGTACAGAGGTAGGGACACAGCAGAGACAGCCAGGATCCCTGCCACTCACACACACAAACCCCAGGTAGAATGTTCCTCATGCCCACAGCATCTGGGTACTCTGTCCCCTCACCGCTGAGTAACCTGTCCAGCTCACACCTGCAATTTTAGTATACTGCCTGCTCCCACTACAGACTCCAGGTATGTTCCCCTCCTGACTTGGAGATAGCATGGCACATCACGCACCCAGAAATACTGCTCTTTTAGACCTGAGCTACACAGTGGCACACACTCACTCACACACACCTGAGACACCGCCCTTCCTCCAACATGAGACATGTTTGCCTACTACACACACTGGAGATGCCCAGATATGCCAACCACACTGTATCTCCGACATATAGGTAGAGCATGTACACACATGAAGGTACATTACCTCCCACACACAGCCACACACACACATACTGAGACCTACAGATATGCTGCAAAACACGCCTGAGACTACAGATACATGTCCGCTTAATGCTGAGGCATTCCAGCATGCAGCCACAAAACGCCCAGGCTGACTGCCACACACAGTGCACATTCATGTCCTTCCATGAGATGTTCCTTGTACATCTGTGTCACATGCATGGGACACGGCAGTTCACGGCCTCCAAACACCTAGATACACCGCCCCACTTGGCTAAAATATGAAGACAACACACAAGATGTCGAGGTAGAGCGGGCACACAGACCTGAGCTATGGGGCATAGGGCTCCTCAAGCCAAAAGAGGTCCAGGGTAATGCCTCTCCTCCACTGGAGGCAGTCACATTTGAAATCAAATCAGGTATGGTGATGGCTGCTAGGCTTAGGTGCTGCCTGCGGAGGCACTGAGGCTATCAGGTACACAGTCTCACACCCACCTGAGCTCAGCCCCAGGTACAGATCCCTGGCGGCAACCTGAATCACTCTGTCTAACTTGGCTTCAAGGCAACTCCACCAACCTTTATTAAATAACGCTCAGGGCCTCTGGTTACTGGCAGCCTGCTCACACTTTCCCTGACACACACCTGGAGCCCTCCCTTCCCCTACGGTATAAGCAAGGAGGAAGAAGAGGACCAAGGCTGGGGCTAGTTGGAAACACGCAGGTGGGCTCAGAACCCAGTTCCAGCAGGGGTTGGGTGGGGAAGGAGAAAGCCCAGGACCCTGGGGGACCATGGGTACAAGGCCCTATGCACCTGGTGGGAAGGGGAGAGTGTGGGAGAAGGGAGACAGGAGGAAGCACAGCTTCGGGAGGGAAGGACGCGGGAGAAGGGGACAGGCCCAGTACCCCACAGACTCGCCTCCAGAGATGGCTACTCCTCCACCCTCGCCAGCCCCTGCCCCTGCTCGGTGCAGACCCTCACCTGGCCAAGGCGGAAGCGGCGACTGCGGAACCTCCCAGGCTGCCTGGGCTAAAGAAGGTGGGACAGGAGTAAATCCTGCGGAGGGCGGGGACCTGGCGGCTGGCCCAGGGCTGCCGAGGGCCGCACCCCGAGTTCCGTGGTGGGGCAAGGTGACGGTTGCAAGGGCGGCTGGCGGCCCCTCCCTCCTCCAAGCCAGATCATCCGGAAGGTGAGAAGCCCCCTTTCCTTGTCCTCTGCTCGCCTTCCTTTGTATCTTTCCACGCTTCTCCCAAGGACTTCCCACCCCTCCCCAGACTTTGCTCCTCTGTCTCTGTCCCCCATGCCCTCTCTTGCCAAATCCTTCGCCTCTCAACCAGGACCCCACCCCTTAAGTGAATAAGCGCCCTATAGAGCTGTCCTGTCCAGGCACGGGGAATAAAGGCTAAACAGGACATAGTTCCTGCCCTCTGGCAGGGGGTCCAGAACTTCCTAGCAGTCTTTGCTTAATGAAGCCTGGAATGGGGCCAGGGAAGAGAGATGTTGATGTTGGTACAGAAAACAAGCCCCAGCCTAGAAAGAGTCTACAGTGGAAACTGCTGTTGATCACAGACAGCATTCCATGCCTCAGGGCACACTGCCCCATCATTGACACACCTGGGCTTCATTCCAGCATAATGCCTGCCCTCCATGTAAGCTCTCCTCAGCTACTTAGGAGGCTGAGGCAGGAGAATCGCTTGAACCTGGGAGGTGGAGGTTGCAGTAAGCTGAGATCGTGAGATTGTGGCCACTGCAATTCAGCCTGGGGGACAGTCTCACTCTGTCCCCCCTCAAAAAAAAAAGACACCTATCCCTGACTGGTTTGTGTCTTCCTCTGCACCCTAAGACCCCATACCTTCCCGTCATTGCACTCATCACTCTGTAGAATGTGCCAGTAACTTGTCTCCTCTGCTAGACTCTTAGCTGCAGGTAGACAAGGACTTCATCTTGCCTGGGCATTACTACGTCTCCCATGTTCAGTAAGCTCTGCAGAACCCAGGGACCTGCACATTGTTGCCTGGCCTGTGCCCAATGGGACTCAGTTCAGGACCTTCAAGAAGGCCCCAGGGAGGAGCATTTCTCCCACTTTCCTCTGGGGTCCCAGAGAGGAAGCTGCCAGTCTTAGGACATCTAGTCTGCCCCCTCTCCCAAGGAAGGATGTGTGAACATAGCAGCTACTGTCCAAGGGTCTCTTGGAGGGGAAAACCCTCCCCATCTTGGTAAACATGTGGGATGTTGGATCCCACCTGCTATCACAGTGTTTCCCAGCCTCGGGTCTTCTTCCTCCTTGCTTATGATGTGGGGGAAGGGAGGGGTCAGGTGTGTGTAAGGGAACTTGTGAGCGGGCAGCCGGTACCCAGGGGCCTGGAGCCTTATTTAACAAAGGTTGGTGGAGTTGCCTTGAAGCCAAGTTAGACACAGTGATACAGGCTGCCGCCAGGGATCTGTGCCCGGGTACAATCCCTGTGTGCATCCTACGTGGGATAGGAAAATCTTCGTAATGCTGTTTTTTGGTATTGTTTTCTTGGTTTCTTTTGCTCTCCAACCGGGGCCACTCCTCACACTATAATTGTTTCTGCACATCGGTCATCCCTGATACAGGTTCTGTGACTCCACAGGGTAGAGGCTGGGCTAATTTTTTTGGTATTTTTAGTAGAGATGGAGTTTTGCCGTGTTAGCCAGGCAGCCAGGCCGGTCTTGAACTCCTGACCTCAGTTGATCCACCTGCCGAGGCAGGCCTCCCAAAGTGCTGGGATTACAGGTGTGAGCCCCCAGGCCTGGCTTAGAAGCCTTTTTATTTCTCCCTTCCTCCCTATTTCTTACTTTTGTGTGTGTGTGTGTGTGTGTGTGTGTGTGTGAGACAGAGTCTCGGTCACCCAGGCTAGAGTGCAGTGGCTCGATCTCAGCTCTCTGCACCCTCTACCTCCCAAGTTCAAGCGATTCTCCTGCCTCAGCCTCCCAAATAGCTGGGACTACAAGTGTCTGCCACCACGCCCAGCTAATTTTTTTTGTATTTTTAGTACAGACGAGGTTTCACCATCTTGGCCAGGTCGGTCTTGAATTCCTGACCTCAAATGATCCACCCACCTCAGCCTCCCAAAGTGCTAGGATTACAGGCGTGAGCCACCTAGCCTGGCCTATTTCTTACTTTTGGACTTGTTTCTGTCATCCCCACGTTTGTCCATAAAGAGGATGGGATGTGGGGGAAGCACAGTCTGGCCACCCTAAAGGCCATTAGGGAGCACCTCCTCCAGGCTGGGATGCAGCACCCATTAACACTTAAACCTGGAGACACAGATGAGGCACCACCCACTCCAACTGTGCTTCCCTAACCTCTGCCCTGCCCTGCAGGCTCTGCATCCCGGAATGATAACCACATTCACAGCAGCAGGGCCAATTCTTCCCCCACAGGGGAAGATAAGCAGAGAGGATACTGAGCTGCCTGGCTGCCCCTCACCGCCTTGGATGGGGGTGGAATGGGAGACTTACAGGTTGAGTGAGGCCAATTCCTGTGCAAAGGCTTTTCCATGCCAATGAGGGACCACATTAGTACCTCCTTAGCTTCTCCCTCCCTGCCCTGATCCTGACATCACTGAGCTCTACCACTTCCACCTCCCCCAAGCCAGGCTCTCAACGGGAAATTTCTCAGCGTCTTGGATCCCTCTCCCCTGAGCCTCTGCATGACTGTTCTCTCTGCTGGGAAAAATCTTCCCAGTCTGGCCTACTCTTGTCTCACCTACTAAGTGCAAGACACCTATCCTTGGCTGGGTGCGGTGCCTTGCGCCTGTAATCCCAGCACTTTGGGAGGTCGAGGTGGGCGGATCACCTGAGGTCAGAAGTTCAAGACTAGCCTGGCCAAAATGGCAAAACCCCGTCTCTACTAAAAATACAAAAAGTAGCCAGGCGTGGTGGCAGGTGCCTGTAATCCCAGCTACTTAGGAGGCTGAGGCAGGAGAATCGCTTGAACCTGGGAGGTGGAGGTTGCAGTGAGCTGAGATCATGAGATTGTGGCCACTGCAATTCAGCCTGGGGGACAGAGTGAGACTTTGTTCCCCCCTCAAAAAAAAAAAAAAAAAAGACACCTATCCCTGACTGGTTTGTGTCTTCCTCTGCACCCCAAGACCCCCATGCCTTCCCGTCATTGCACTTATCACTCTGTAGAATGTGCCAGTAACTTGTCTCCCCTGCTAGACTCTTAGCTGCAGGTAGACAAGGACTTCATCTTGCCTGGGCATTACTACGTCTGCCATGTTCAGTCTCTCGCCTGACTTACGTGCTAAGTGCTCAACAACGTTTGCTGAACGAATGGGTGAGACAGAGCCATCTGAATCGGGTGAAGCAAAGGAGAGGTTTGAAATTAAGAGCTCCAGGCCAGGCAACGGTGGCTCACGCCTGTAATCACAGCACTTTGGAAGGCCAAGTCAGATGGATCACGAAGTCAGGAGTTCGAGATCACCCTGGCCATCATGGTGAAACCCCATCTCTACTAGAAATGCCAAAAAAAAAAAATCAGCCAGGCATGGTGGTGGGCACCTGTAATCCCACCTACTCAGGAGGCTGAGGCAGGAGAATAACTTGAACCTGGGAGGGGGAGGTTGCAGTGTGCCAAGATCGAGCCACTACACTCCAGCCTGGCGACAGAGCGAGACTCTGTCTCAAAGAAAAAAAAAAGACTGTAAATCTGAACAAGTTACTTCACATTTCTATCTGTTTCCTCATCTACAAGATACGTCTATTAAGAGTAGCTACCTTATGGGGTTATTGGAGAAGTAACTGTGTCCACCTGTGCGGTAGCCAGCCTCCAAAGTGGCTGCTGCTGCAGCTCCCCTCCAGGTATTCCTACTGTAGTACAGTCCCTTCCCACAATGAATGGGGCTCATCAGTGTAACCAATGGGATCCCCAGAAGGGATAGTGTGTGACTTCTGAGACAAGTCGTATAAGGCAGCATGGCTTCTGCCTGGCTCTCTTGATCACTCCCTCTGGGGAAAGCCAGCCACCATGTCAAGAGGACATTCAAGGCTGGGCACGGTGGCTCACACCTGTAATCCCAGCACTCTGGGAGGTCAACATGGGCAGATCACTTGAGGTTGGGAGTTTAAGACCAGCCTGACCAACATGGTGAAACCCGTCTCTACTAAAAATACAAAAATTAGCCAGGTGTAATGGCGGGTGCCTGTAATCACAGCTACTTTGGGGCTAAGACAGGAGAATTGCCTTAGCTCCAAAGTTGAACCCTGGAGGTACAAGGTCAGGGGTTCAAGACCAGCCTGGCCAACATGGTGAAATCCTGTCTCTACTAAAGATATAAAAAATTAGCCGAGTGTGGTGCACATGCCTTTAATTCTAACGACTTGGGAGGCTGAGGCAGGAGAATCACTTGAACCCAGGAGGTAGAGGTTGCAGTGAGCCAAGATCATGCCACTGCATTCCAGCCTGGGCGACAGAGCGAGACTCCATCTCACACACACACACACACAAAAAAAAAGGACATTCAAGCAGCCCTATGGAGAGAGCTCCATGTGTCAAGGAACTGAGGCATCCTGCTAACAGCCAACACTAACATACCAGGCATACAAGTGTGCCCATCTGGGAACCTGATCCTCCAGCCCCATCAACCCTTACATTTCTGCGGCCCTGACTAACATCTTGGATACACCATCGTGTGAGGCCCTGAGCCAGAACCACCCAGTGAAGCTGCTCCCAAATTTCTATTTTTTTCTTTTTTTAGACACGGGGTCTCACTCTGTCTCTCAGGCTAATGTGTAATGGCACAATCATGGTACACTGAGGCCTCGACCTCCCAGGCTCAAGTGATCTTTCTGCCTCACACTTCCAAGTACCTGGGACTACAAGTGCACACCACCATGCCTGGCTAATTTTTTTTTTCTCTAAGATGGAATTTAGCTCCTGTTACCCAGGCTGGAATGCAATGGCATGATCCTGGCTCACTGCAACCTCCACTTCCCAGGTTCAAGTGATTCTCCGGCCTCAGCCTCCTGAGTAGCTGGGATTACAGGCATGTGCCACCACATCCAGCTAATTTTTTTTTTGTATATTTTTAGTAGAGACAGGATTTTACCCTGTTGGCCAGGCTAGTCTCGAACTCCTGACCTCAGGCAATCTGCCTACCTCAGCCTCCCAAAGTGCTGGGATTACAGGCGTGAGCCACTGCACCTGGCCTTTTTTTTTTTTTTTGAGATGGAGTCTTGCTCCGTTGCCCAGGCTGGCCTTGAACTCCTGGCCTCAAGCAATCCTCCCACCTTGACCTCTCAAAGTGCTGACATTATAGACATAAGCCACCACTCTCAGCCCCATATTTCTAATCCACAGACACTGTGAGATAATGGATATTGCTTTAGGCCCCTGAGTTTTAGAAAAATGTGTTACATGGCTACACATAACTAATACAGTGCATAAAATGCGTAGACTGTCTGACACGCTGTCTCCATGACCATTAGGCATCATTAACTCTATTTTGCAGGTAGGTGAACTGAGGCTCAGATTCTTGAAGTAATGTCCCTGGTGCACATGGCTAGGATAGACCCGCCACCCATGTCATAAACCCAAAACATTTGGTGCCAAGTCCTAGGTTCCTTTTCCTGTTCCACTGCACCAGTTATCTGTTTTGAAGGAATAATACCTAGTGGCAG